TTTTTTTTTTGTGCAATAATTTAACCATATAGCCAACAAATAAAAAAAGAAGTATACAAACAGACTATGCGATCAAAGGGTTTTCGGTGAAAATGCATATGATTACAATTAAGCTGGTACAGCTAGCAGGCATGGGAATCGAGAACCAGTTCCAGTTGAGAACTGGTTCCAAATTGTCCGATCCCTCAGAATCGTATGCCTCCAAGCTTATCTATTAATTTGTATCAGTACCAGGCTTTATTTCAGGAAGAAACTCAAACTACTATAACACACTCTTTTGACACTGTGTTCAGACTCAGACATAATAAAATAGTTGGTTCATGCTGAAATAGAATTAGACTTATAAGCAAAATCAACAATGGTATTGGTATTAATAAAATCTTATCAGTTGCCATCCCTTACACCTGTTGCAGAAGCCTCACACTGAACAAAGGATATCAGTCAGTCAATCACAGTGGGCTTAAACAAAGAAGATCTCTAGACAAGCCTTGAAGAGACAAAAAAAGACAAGAAAGAAGGAGACGTGATGGTTCGGAAAATGAGTGCAAGGTAAAAAAAGGGTATAGCCAAGTGTGTACGAGAGGTGCTTAACTTGCTGCTGTGGTTTTAGCAGAATGTAATCACAGCTGGCTATCAATTAAAGAAATGAGCTGTGCCGGAAGGAAAAAACTTCAAGCCGGGACAGCATAACAGAGAGGAAAAGAGGGAAGTGAAGGAGGAAGAAGAGGGAGCCCCATCTGGAATTTCAACCGTGGGACCTGGTGACGCTTAGGTCTACACGCGCTGCATTTGCTTGAGTGCACACACACCTCAAGTCCCCCCCACCCACCGCCACCTCACCCCAAAATTCAGGTCTCACTCTCACAAATACTAACATCAAATACCACACTGCACACAAGGCATTCTCTGTGCATGCACGCATTCGCATGCATAGAAATAAGAGGGGAAAACTCTGGCGCTAACAGTACTACACAAGCAGCTGCATAACAGGAGCCACTTTGAGCACGCAGGATTATCCGAATGTGCTCAACCCTGATAAGTGGCTTAATGCAACATTTCCACTGGACTTTTTTTCTGCTGAGGCTGAGACCCAGGCGCACAAGAAGCACTACTTATAAAGTTAGCCAAATCGAGCTTTTTGGGATTATGTCACCATGCAAGCGCTGCCGTTTAAATGGGGGTGGGGGATGTATATGAGAGAGAAGGGGAGACAGACAGACGTAGTGTGACAGGAAGGAGAAGAAGTAAAATGCCTCAGTGCACATTTAGATAACCTTAAAGGGATGGTTCAGAAGAAGTTTTTTTTTTTGATGTAAGGTAGAAGGATTGGATGACAGCAACACACGTCCTGTTACAAGAAAATCATATACTTTAACTACTGCTTTATATTCCAGGTGATAACTAGTTCCTACGTCTAAAGTAGCTGGCTGGCAAAAACAATAAAAAATAATTCTATTAAAATGAAATTGATCAAGATGTATGGTTGTTGGAATAGAACAAGATATCATCACCACCTGTAGAAGTCTTCTTTCAAAGACCAGACTAGGTAATTCCTTTCTGCCTCTGAGAGCTATCAAATATAGACTCTGCTTGGCCAAAAAAAAAGAGAAAAAGGCAGTCTTTTGAATATGGATATTAGATATGCTTTATAAAGATCAAAAGCACCATGCTCTCCTTATACAGTTGAGGAATAGGGGGTTTAATAGGAAAAAAAAAAAGCATTTAATGTAGCTTTATTCTCCTAAAGCGGAGCGGTGGCATTAGGGCTTTGAGCTTTTGCTGAGCACACTGAGACTCGTAGTTAATGCTTAGTCACGTCCTAGAAGGTTTAGTCAGGGGAAAATCTGCTTGTTTCCAATTCACGCGATGTATTGCACTCATAGGCAGTCACTGAGCTTTGTAATGGAACACTGTCAAGGGGAATACCTGTAAGGTCAATCTGAGAACTCAACCGTGTGACTGGATGGGACAATTAGCTTTGATCAAGTGCAGTTTAAGCTAGATGATGCGAAGGTGCACCCCTTTGCGATCTCATTCCAGGTCTGCAGTCACATCTGCTGGTGATTCAAGTTCTCTTCTCCTTTTCAGGAAAGACCCAGACCAGACAGAGTATTCCCTTTTAAATCCACCGGGTCAAGGCCCAATTACCCTCCTGTTGAGGTAAAACCTTTGTCTTGGTTTGTGTCAAAGAGGAAAGAAAGAAGATAAAAGTTGAGCTCTCTGGAGCAGAATTTCAGGGAAAGCAGTGGTCTTCGAGTCTTCTACTAATGCTTACTGCTCCAAATCTGTCTTTATAGAGCTTAGTGTTCAGAGACAGGATGACAGTAAGTGGGTCGACTAAACTCCTCTCCTTGTTGGAGTGCAACATGCATCTGTACACTTGTGCACCTACCTGCATCCAACTTGACAACTCAAGTAGGCCAAGGTAGTGTAGATTAACATTAAAAGATTTGAGGGTTAAGTATTGTGCTTGCAAATAAACATTCACTCACACAGAGCCTGTGATCATTTCATCCAAACTAATTCTTTCTTGTTGCCAAGGCAGCAGAGGGGTGATGCTTGTACCTTCAAAAAAAAAAAAAGGGGCCTCTAATTATTTAAAAAAATAAGATACATGGCGACAGAGGCTTTAATTCAAGGCATTACCCTTGTGTCCTAGCAACAATGAAGGAATGGGAAAGAAGAAATCTTCCAGAGCAGACACACACACACACAC